TTGGGGCATCTTTTCTGCTTGAAATCCATCAGGCAAGAGAGAAAAAACAGACCTTGCTACTTCATTCTGGCTGCTTAGAAGAGAAGAGACTCTTAATTCAACTCAGCAGCTTTTCTGGTGATCCAGTTAGCAAGGAAGAGAAAGACAGGAGAAGTAAAGAGCAAAACTTCCAGATGCCTTACCAACTACTTCAGGTCAAACAAAACTACATATTTCCAAATCACATATATTCTCTAAATCTCAGCTTCACCTGAAGTGACTACTTACATTGGACGTTTTGCCCAAGGAAGTAGTATAGCCTGACTTCATTATATGAACGGAACATCATTTTCTCTATTCTAGTTCCCATGAGTACTCAGAGTCCATATTTCTTTTTCAGGAGAATCCTGGAAATGGAACAATATTGGAAAGTTGCTTCTTTAATTCCATGATCTTTTCAGGAACAGTCCCATTGCTGGAGTTGGGTAGAGGGTGGGCAGGCTACTCTGTTTCTCTCACCCCCATTTAGATGGCAAGATGGTGTCAGCTGCCATACATGAAATTACTGAGTATGGGTGCAGCAGAGGAGACAGCTATAGGATGCTGGTTCTTGGGAGTTTTTATTATGACAGTTTCAAGAAAAGAGATGAATTGAGGATTTTGTGATAATACTACATTATTTACTGATATTGAACTTTCAGTCTACTCAATTCCTCAAATAATTTTCGATACCCTCCCCACCCCCACCCCCACACCCATCTTGTATTTGGGAATTTGCTTTTGGGGAGCTGTATCTTATTCTCATCTTCTAGATTTTAAGCTCAAACTCCTTGAGTGCACAGATAGAATCATAATAATAATGATAATAGCAATAATTCACATTGATATAGCAATTTAAGGTTTACACAAGACTTTCCTCATAACAACTCTGTAAATGTAGATCTTATGCATTTTTATATCCTCTAGAATGCCTAGTACAATGTGTTCTTTGCACATAGTAGGTACTCAGTAAATGTTTTTTAATTGCATAAATCACATTATATTGAATATGTAATATTTAATACTGTATACACATCTACCACCAGGTTTAATTCCTGGTTAAGGCATACGCACATGCACATACACACACACACACACACACACACACACACACACACACATACACATCCATAGTATGATGGCAAAAACACTATTTTTGGGAATTAAAGAACCTGGTTCAAACCCCAGCAATGCCACTGTCTACTGCAGTGATCTTGGGTGAATCACATCATGTTGCTGGGTCTCAGTCTCCTCATCTGTAAAATGAAGGGGCAGTTGGACTAAATGATCTTGAAGGTCTCTTTCAGCTCTAAGCCTTTTCAGTCTTATGTACTTACATATAAAAATGAATGAGGAAATGGGACATAGTAGATAAAGTGTTGGACTCAGAATCAGGAAGACCTGTGTTTGAATCCTACCTGTGACACTTACCAGTTGAGTTACCATGTGCAAGTCATTTGACCTCTTTGAGTCTCAGTTTCCTCATCTGTATGGGGAAAATAACTTTATAGAGTTGTGAAGTTAATTGAAATAATGTGAGTAAAGTCCTTTTGTTGTTTAGTTGTGTCTGACTCTTTATAACCCTGTGGACCATACTGTCCATGGAATTTTCTTGGGAAAGATACTGGACGGGTTTGCCATTTCCTTCTCCAGTGGATTAAGACAAGCTGAGGTTAAATGACTGGCCCAGGTCACACAGCTAGTAAGTATCAGAGGCTGGATTTGAACTGAGGTCTTCCTGACTCCGGGCCTAGGGCTCTATCCACTGACCCACCTACGTACCTTGTAAAGAGCTTTACAGACTTCAAGAGCTTTCATTATTATCCACATTTCTAGAGAGCTTTAAGATTTTACAAAGGACCCTCTTCACAACAACCTCTGTGATGTAGATAGTGTAGACATCATTATTCCTCTTTTACAGATGAGAAATTGAAGTTCTACATGTTTAAATGATATTCCTATGTGATGGCTAGTGTTCATAGAAGCTTCAATTCAAACTATCTTCTGATAAACCCAGTGTTTTTGCCTGCCATGTGTGTATCTCTACGTATATCTCTATTTTTATATCTATCAGTCAAATTAATACCTCACCTTTTCCTTTTTCTAAATCTATGGTCAGATTACAAATGGCTTCTCATTGAACTACTTGTATTTTTATGTCAAATTTTATATTTAGCTACAAACTGTTACCAGGACATCAAAGTAAAGAGAACAGCTATGAAGCAGTATGACAATACATTCTTAAAATCTCTCCAGAGAAAGGCCCTGTTCTAAAAACAGTAACTTGGAATTACGTGTACTTTCTCTTTCAGATTTTTACTCTGAAAAATTTAATTCATTCTTAGTCCAGATGAGTAAGCTTGAGTCATAATGTTCAAGCTGCACAATGGAAAAGGAGCCCTGTCAGTGGAGGCAAGGGATTTACAAACTGCTGTAAAATCATGACTTCTCCCTAACTGATGTTTCAAGACCAGAGAATTGATTTGATAAATTAACTACTTGCAAACTTCTGAAAGCAGAGGCTTGGAAGACTATAAAGTACAAATCCTTGTCTGCAGAAAAGATGAAGCTACTAAAGGTAACTTTATCAATGCTCTGAGTATTCTCAAGGTGACTGTATTCTAACTACCAAACCAGAGAATCAACTTGATTCTGAAGAATTCGAGACAAATGATCTTATATGCTCAGTAGGACTAGACTTGGGTAGAAAAATATCCATAGAGTTTGAGGCAAGAAAGAATGGTTATAAGGAAGATTAATCAGCTCCAGGGATTCCACCCCCTCTTCATTTACGCACTTCCCTACTGGCTGATACACAATTTCCCTATTGGCTACATGTTCTTTTTCATCACTTTTACATTTCTATTTTGATGGAATTTCTCTCTCTCTCTCTCTCTCTCTCTCTTTCTCTCTCTCTCTCTCTCTCTCTCTCTCTCACTTTCTGTTCATATGAAAACCTCAAAGGGAAAACTTTGCCTGCTTTTTATCTTGGGAAAACATCTATAGCCCATTTATGAAGGAGTTTGTAACCTAGAGAATTTTTATCATGTTCTCTGATTAGTTATATGGATGCTACTTAGTAATGTGGGTATAGTTAAGACAAACTGGATAGAGATGAATATACTTACTGCCTGTTCAAAAGCTGAACATAGAACATTATTTTAAGAAGTCAAGATCTGAATCATTAAAGCAGCAGGAAAAAATAAAAGTAATCTTCAGTGGAGCCCTAGTGAGATCACATAAAGCTATTACAGACTATGATACAGGTTCTTAACCCAGGGTTCACAGATGCCCAGGATGTCTGTAGATAGATTTCAGGGGTCTCTCCCACCATTTTCTTCGACTACTATTTCTTGAACAGAACACTCCATCTCCTGACCCTGGGTATTTTCATTAGATGCCCTTCATGCCTGGAATGTTCTCCCTCCTCTTGCTATCCTTTCTCATCTGTTTTCCTTCATATTACATCTAAAATCCCACCTTCTACAGGAAGCCTTTCCTAATACTTCTTAATTCTAGTGCCTTCCCTTTATTGGAGATTTCTAATTTATTTTGTAAATACTTTGTTGTATATAGTGGTTTGCATGTTTTCTCTGCCATTAGACTGTGATTTTCTTTATATCCCCAGAGTTTAGTACAGTGCCTGGTACATAGTAGATGTTTAATAAATGTTTATTGACTGACTAGATGAGAAAGATTCCAACTTTATTTTCAATAACCTCTAACTGAAATTTAGCATTTTCTTCAATCATGAATTTTTAAAAAGCCATAATTCTGAGAAAGTGTCCATAGGTTTCGTCAAACTGCTGAAAGGGAATTCATGACATAAAAAAAAAAAAGGTTAAGAAAAACTGGTTTATGTATTATCTCACTCTTCTAGTTATCATGGTTAGTTTTTCACAAAATTGGTACAGTCTAAATAGGAACCACATCAGGATGTGGTAAAAAAAAAAGAAAAGAATATTTTTGCCACTAGATACTATCAGGATTATAATTTAAGTATCCTCATTATTTTTAATGTATTTTTACTGACTTCACTTTAGACAAAGTGGAGTTTAGATAATCAAATCAAATGGGGCATTGGCTTTTCATTTTCTATTGTTTCAGCCAGGAAACAATTTTCATTTACTGCTTTAGAACAAGTCTGCCATTGGATATAAGGAGAGAATTTTCCTCTGCCACTATTAGATTATAACATAGTAAACCTTACTCATACTTTTCTATGTAGTATTTTGAATCCCAAACTCTTCCCATTTTGCTTTTAAGAAGAATGTAGAAGCTTTTCTTTCCAGGAAATTAGGCTTATTGTTCTTGAGAGGAAATCAATCAACCAATTGATTTCAACCAATTTATTGAGCGCTTATTATCACTGGGCTATGTACTATGGGGAGTAGTCAAAGAAACAGTTGTGTCTACTCTTAAGGACATTTAGAATGTAAGATCATTGAGATTAAGTATTGTTTCATTCTTTGTATTTGCATCCCTAATTCTTAGCATGTGGTAAGTGTCTAGTAAACGTTGGTGGATTGATTAATTGGCATAATAATTTAACACTGTATAGATATAACCATTTGATATTGAATTAACTGGATATCTTTCCCTAAATATTTGAATTCAAATGCTTTTTACAATATGACTGAATTAAGACGTTGAAAGAAAAAGAAAACATATCCAAACTCCCCTTACTACATTACCAAATATTAGCACCTTCTTTCTCCATTGTATTAATTTAATTTTTCTTTTTTTATTATGAATTAAATGTCAACAAATATGAACATTTCAATATACGAAGAACAGAAAACAAGGATTGTATGTGAAACTATGAAATTCTGTTACATCTAATTTGTTTTTTAAAGTGTGTAGTGAATATGACAGTGACAGCACTGCTCTGTTCTGAACTTTTTTGTACTTTCTTCTGTGTCCTTGTAAAAAATTGTTTCACTGATGCTCTTTTCTTTCTTCTCTTCTTTTTGCACAGCAACTTCTTTCCCCAATTTTTTCCCTCCCCCCACCGTAGAAGGCCTCTATTATAACAAATAAGTACAGGGAGCGAAACTATTCCATGAGCTGGATGCATCTCTAGATCATCACCTCTCAGCCAAGAGGTGAGAAACATGTTCCATCTTTAGTCTTTTGAAGTCATGCTTGGTCATTGCATTGGTCACAGTTCTTAAGTCTTTCAAATTGTTTTCCTTTATGGTATTGCAGTCATTATTCTGCTTCTTCACTTCATAATGATCAACTATACTAGTCTTTTAAAGTTTCTTTGACTTTCTATGCCTTCATTTCTTTTTTTCATTTCTTATGGAGCAATAATATTCTATTAAAATTGTATGCTACATTTTGTTCATCCGTTCCCCAACTGATAGGACCCACTACATTTCCATTGTTTTACTACAACAAAATTGCTGCTATAAATATTTTTTACATATTTTCCTTTCACTTTATCTATGATCTCACTTAATTGTCTCAAATTCTAAATGCAATGATTTTGTTTGTATGTGAACTTTGCAAATTTATGTAGTCAAAATTGTCCATTTTATCTCCTGTGATCCTTTAACACTTGTGTAGTTAATAACTTTTTCTCTTTTCTTAGTTGTAAAAAAAAATCTTCTTTTCTGCTCCTTTAATTTGTTTATGATGTGACCTTTTATTCTTGTACCCATTTGGAGCTGATTGTAGTATATAGTATGAGATGTTGGTCCATACCTAATTTCTGCCAAACTGCTTTCCAGTTTCCCCAACATATTGTATCTGTTAGTGAGTCTGTACCTAGTAGTAGAATCTTTGGGCTCATTGAGCATTATGCTAACAAGTTTATTTTGTGAATATGATCTGTTCCACAGATCAACTTTTAATTTAGAAAGTTTTGATTATTACTGCTTCATAGTATACTATTTAGATCTGGTATTGCTAGGTCCCCTTCCTTTGAACTTTTTTTCCATTATTACTATGAAATTCTTGACTGTTTGCTTTCCATATGAACTTTGTTGTTGTTCTTTTTTCTTCTAATTTCATGAAATAACTTTTTGTTAGTTTGATTGGTCTGGCACTGAATCTGTAAACTAATTTTGGTAGTATTATCACTTTTATTATATTGACACGATCCAATTGTGAACATGAAATGTCTCTCCGATTGTTTAGATCTGCATTTATTTATTTATTTATTTTTTGCTTTTTTTTTTTTGGCAATTGGGGTTAAGTGACTTGCCCAGGGTTCACACAGTTAGTAAGTGTCAAGTGTTTGGTCTGAGGTCGGATTTGAACTCAGGTCCTCCTGACTTCAGCGCCGGTGCTGTATCCACTGCGCCACCTAGCTGCCCCTGCATTTATTTCTTTTAAGTGGTTTATAGTTGCATTCATATAATTTCTGTATGTGCCTTAAAAACTGGATTCCCTGATATTTTATATATTTTGTAATTATTTTTCATGTAATTGCATTTGGTATCTCTTCCTTTTGGGTTTTGTTGGTAATATATAAAGGCCAAAGAGTTTTACTGGTTTAATTTATATCCTGCTACTTCCCTAAAGATGTTGTTTCAATTTTTTTCAGTTGATTTAGTTTCTCCATGGAAACTATAACACCATTTGCATTTGTTTTGCTTTTCCCTCTAATTATTGCCTCAACTTCTTTTTCTTATGTGATTGTCATAGCAAGCATTTCTAAGACAGGATGAAATAATAGTGACAATAGATACACTTGCTTTACCCTGATCTTATTGGAAAGACCTCTAGCATTTTCCCACTGTAATTACAATTCTTGGTTTTAGGTAGATGATATTTACCAAATTAAGGAATGGCCCATTTATTTTTTATGCTTGTAGTGGTTTTTTGTTTTTGTTTTTAACATAAAGGAGTATTGTATTTTGTTAAAAGCTTTTCCTTTGCATTTATTCATCATGTGATTTTTATTGCTAATAACATATTTATTAAGTTTATAGTTTTCCTAATATAACCATTTCTGCATTCCTAGTATAAATCCAACCTAGCCATAATGAATACCCTTTTAAATATGTTGTTGTTAATTTTGTTAATATTGTATTCAATGTTTTTCCACCAATATTCATTAGGAATATGGGTCTATTCTTTACTTTACTTTATCCCTCCCTGGTTTAGGTATCAGGAACATATTTTTCTCACAGAAGGAGGATTTAGTAGAACTTATTTTTCTTTTCTATTTTTTTGGTAAATGATTTATATAATGCTTGAATTAATAGTCCTTTTAATGCTTAATATAATTTACTTTGGAAGTTTATTTTTGGCTTCTTTGACTTTTTTTCTGTGGTTGGGTTATGTAAATTCTTCTTGTTCTGTTAATATGGACATTTTACATTTGGGTAATGTTCAGCAGTTTCAGTTATGAGTTTTGTTGGTATATGTTGGGCAAAATAATTTCCAATAATGTCTCCCTTTTTCTTTTGATTTGTTGTGAATTTTCCTTTTTCTCTTTTGATGCTGGCAATCTAGTTTTCTTCTCTTATTTTCTTGTCAGATTGAGATCTGATCCTAAAGAATGATGAGTATGTATGTGTGTGTGTGTGACTGTGTGTGTGTGTGTGACTGTGTGTGTGTAAGAGAGAGAAAGAGAGAGAGAAAGAGAAAGAGACAGAGAAAGAGAGAGAGAGAAAGAGAGAGAGAGAGAGAGAAAGAGGGAGAGAGAGAGAGAGGGAGAGAGGGAGAGAGAGAGAGAACAATCCAGTCTAAGATTTCAGAAAAGATGAGGGGTAGGAACCAATTACTTCTATTATATATTACAAATAATGATCAGATTCTTTCCCTTTCTCCAATCCTTTCCATTTTGTAAAGAGTAGAGTGGGAGACAAAGAGGGAAAAATAAGGGAGTATAATGGAGGGAAACACAAAATTAACAATCATAATGGTGAACATGAATATAAAGATCCCATCCATAAAATGGAAAAAGATAGCAGAATAGATCAGAAAGCAGAAACCAATAACATTGTTTACAAGGAACACACTTGAAAATAAAGATTTACACATAACTAAAATGAGGAGCTTGAACAGAACTTATTAAAATAAGTAGGGGTAACAATTTTCATCTCAGACAAGACAACAGTAAAAATAGAGATGGTTAAAATAGGGAAACTACTTTATATTTAAAGGTACCACAGATAATTATAGATACATATATATATGTACATATATATATACTAAATGGCATAACATCTAAGTACTTGAAGGAAAAATTAATTGAATTAAAGGAAGAAATTTAAAATGGCTAGGGATGTCAATGGGCACTTTTAAGATAGTCAAATTTAACAAAAAATCTAGAAATAAAAGATCTGCATAGAAGTTTAATAAAAGTTAGATATCACAGTCCTTTGACAACTGCTAAATGGAAATAGAAAAGAATATGTGTATTCTCAGCAGTTTGTGACACCTTTATAAATATTGGCTATATGCTAGGGCATTAAACCTTAAGCAAACGCAAAAAAGCAGAACTATGAAACATATAGTTACTGACCACAACACAATAACATGTATAATCAATAAATGCAAATTAATCAATAAAATGTACCATTAAACATATAGTTACTGACCATAACACAATAAAACTTATAATCAATAAATGCAAATTAATCAATAAAAGGACCTTTGAATAAAGGATTTAAATTTAAATGAAGACTAAAATAATTTAATCATGAGGTATTGGTAGATCAAAGAACAAATCATAGAAACAATACACAATTTCATTAAAGAGAAAGACAACAATGAGACAATATTCCAATACTTTTGGAATGAAGCCAAAATTGTCCATAAGAGAAATTTTATATCTTTGAAATTTTTCATTAACGAAAGGAGTTAATTAACTGAGCATGCAACTAAAGAAAGGAAAAGTAATTATTTCAAAAATAAAAATTCTGAAAATCAGAGTTAAAATAGTAAACAATAAAACCCTTTTTGAAACCATACATAAAATTAGGTGACCCTCTCAAGTACAACTTACGGGTTCACTCTCCACCTTCTGCTTCAGTGAGGCATTGACTGACAACCATTTATAGCCCTAGGACATACTTGGGGGACAAGACTTATTCCCATCTCATTTCCCTTGAGACCTTCTCCAAGGAAAGGAGGGCACTCTTAATTCCTAACCCGGCTCCTATACATTGACCTGCTCCTGCTTGCTCTGAAGTAGGTCTCTTTAGGCCAGGTTAAACTTCTTGTATTCTCTGCATGTGTTCTTCTTCAGTGGTAGGATGGTAGCCTCTGGGATTACATACTTCATGTGTACATGGGAGAGGATTTTTGTCACTTTATTTGATATGTTATTTGTTTAGATATTTTTTTATTTTGAACTAATGAATCCTTTGATCCATGGGTAAATATATCACTGGAGACCTGGTAACATATAGCTTTGAGTGGTTGATCCACAGATTATTTTGAATGTAGGGTAGTTTTTCTGGTGTTCCTCTTATGAAAAGGGGTTTTCTGGGTGCTACATATCAATTCTAGCAAAACTTTTTGAAAATACCTCACTTGCTATGCTTATGGACGAGATGGAGAAATTCAGGCTAGCTAGTTTCAGATTGATTTAATCATAGTTGAATAGATTGACTCAAAGAGTAGTCATTAATAAATTAATGTTAACTCCTAGTAAGGTCTGTAGTGCAAGATTACAAGGAGCTGTCCTTGGCTCCATACAGTTCAATACTTTTACTGATGAATGGGATGAAGGAATACATGGTGTTCTTATCAGATTTGTAGTGAATATAAAGCCAGGAGGGGTAAGTTACACATTAGATAACAGAATGAGATCCCAAAATATTTTCAACAGTCTAGAATTGTAGTCTCTAATCTTTTTTGAGGATTATCCCTGTCACTATAAAAAAATTGAGATCATTTTTATAGGCATATATATATAAATTACATACATATGCAACCATACCAATACATTTTGTACATGATAAAATGTACAAATTAGAAAGTAGAAATAAAAAATAACAAAATTGAAAAAATAATATTTTAAAAATAATTAAAAATAAAATTTTATTTATTAATGGCACAAAATCCTCATTAAATTATCATTATGACTTTTTTTAATGAGAAAATGTGATTTCATAAGTTTCATTATTTTAGAAAAACTTTG